TAAGGGTAGGGGATATATGGTGTTCAGACTCCAAGGACTGGTACCAGCTCTCCAGCCTCTTACCAAGGTTAAAATATTGCAGAGGAACAGGAAGGGCATTAGAAACAATTACTGAAGCAATTCCGATAGAATGGCTAAGGATTCTCAGGAAAGGGCCCCATCTCAAGGAAAGCGATTGGGTGGGTATTAAGGGGAACTCCAAGCAAGTAGGAAGTGTTATAATGCAAAATGTAGGAGGCTCAGTGTTAATCTCTATTCTCTCAATCAATCATAACTATCACATAAAAGTAAATCCAACAAATGAAACCAGATGAGTTGAAGTAGATCAACTGTTCAGGATCAGAGTTATGAAACAAAAGGACCATTGGTTAGCCTTCAAACCTCAATGCCCAATTAACATACTGGCATTGGACCTAATCTATTGGACATGAATAGTTCCAATGAGGAGCAACAGAAACTGCACGCGCTTCCTACACTCACTAACAGTCAAGTCTACGTATAGAATGTTAAGACCCAGGATAAATATGAAAGACCGGGTGGAAAACAGATGGATGAAACACCTGAATGTGAGCAAGGAAGATATTAGGAGTATCAAGTGGTTCAAGACTATCAAGATTAGGCCAACAAAGATTGTTTCTCTACAATGGCAGATTGACCACCGCTGTCTACCCACAAACGACTGGCTAATGGACAGAACATCACTAGAAAAAAGAGGCTTTGCTCATCCTTGGTGCAAAATGTGTAGCTTAGCATTCCCAAACAGGTGCATTCCAGAAATCATAGAGCATGTATTTCTACAATGTCCAGGTGATGTTTTGTTGTGGCGCTGGTGGGATAGGATTTCGTCTACCCTTACTACTCAGTTGTCATGACCATGGGATTGGAGAGCGCTGTTATGTGAGGCTTGGTCCTCGGACCTGCTAGATGATTTATCCCACAATCTCTTTAAAACAGGAAGAAGGGTCATACTTTGGGCTCTCTAGAATCGTCGCTGCACTTTTGAAATGGAAGGAGCAAGGATTGACGACCCTGAATTAACAGAGGCAATTAAACTACAAGTGCAAACAGACATTACAATCCAGTGGAACAAGCTTAAAGAAAAAAATCAATTCTTATCTTCAAAAAAAGAAATCCTACATCACATCAAGCAATTCAGTGGCGCTTGGCTAGGGGAGTCCCAAGGAGGGAAGATTGGTCAGATCCGAGAGGGTGGGGGAAGGGGAGGTATCAAGGAAGGGCAAAATGAGAAAGTACCTAGAGACTTCCGTCCGGTGTTCCATGACTGGACCACTGTAGACTCATCTATCCTGCTGCGCCCCCCATCGGAATTCCCAGACCCATTTCCCCCCTCTGCTCTAGCTCTGGTCCCCTTGAGTTGGTATGGCTATGATTGATAGGAAGATATCTGACTGGGATGGTTTCCTTGTTTTTCATGATGTCCTCTTTGGTCTGCTGCAGGTGGTAGCAACAGGAAATATACTATGTACTTCTGCAGGTGGTTTTTGTAAAGCAGTAGTATGGTCAACTAAATTCCCATTCATCTATTTTTCCCAGTAGGGATTATCCAAATTAGTACCAGGGCTGATCAGAGAAATCTGGCGCCACTCAGATGAGGGTGAAGAGGTACAAGGGACACTGAGCCAGTTTCCCGGCTCGTTCTTTTTGTTCATATTCATCAATTCTGTATATGGGATGCTGGACCCGTTTTCAAGCAGGTGAAGCTCCCCACCAATAGATAGAGCTTTCCCCCTGGTTCTAGTGGTGTCTGCTCTTATCAGCACCACTAACACTGCTGGGGGTGTTTAAAAAAAAAAAGGAAAAAGAAAGGGCACACTTAGCCCTCCCTCTCTTCGATATACATGCTCTCTCTTCTTTTCACTATAACCCCAACAACCCACCCATGCCACGTGGCATGCACTGTCACACCGATCTGCCTCGCGCCTTCCCCCACATGGCATCCACCACCCCCTACCAACCATACACCCCTCCTGCCTCACCTCAATGGAAGTCCCGCGACGCGCCCCCCGCTAAGTTGTGGCAAGCACGCTAATCACTTTATGGCTTCCAACCCAACAAGCACCAGCTCCCCGTTGCTTCGGCTCGGGTGGGGCGCAACGCTCCCGGTAGCGAAGGACAAACTACCAGCCCATATCTATATCCTCAAGAATTTTAAGCTACCCCCTGCAATCGCAATCCCATTCTCGATAAAAAGCAACTAGCCAAGTACCACTCACAATTCTAAAGGAATTCATAAATACCTCCTGCTACACGCAGTATCACTTTTAAAAAAAATCGCTCCTAGCCCAAAACCACTCACAATCCAGAAGGAAAAAGAAAATCACAGTCAGATGTCGGTCCTGCTCAACAATTTCAACAATTTCAATATCTAGGGATGTTGGACCCCCTTTCCAGCAGGTGCTGCTCCCCACTAGTAGATGGAGCCTCCCAGGGAATGCTAGGGGTGTCTGCTCTTATCAGGTCCTTTTTTTTTTTTTTTTTTTTTTTTTTAAAACCCCCCCCCGCCAGTGTTAGTGGTGCTGATAAGAGCAGACACCACTAACACCTTGGGGGAGGCTCCATCTACTGGTGGGGACCTGCTGGAAAACGGGTCCAGCGTTCCATATACAGGCTGAATTTGGAGAATATAAGACAAAAGATAATTGTGGGAGATTCCTGCCAGCATTGATTATCATGGGATCCAGGGGATTGACTGAGCAGAATATTGGAAGGAGGGGGAACCTCTTCACCTTGGTTTCGGTGCAGACTGGGGACCAGCAACTTCAAGTGCAATGATTTGGCGGTCCATGCTGTTATATTCATTGTCACGTTCAGGGAATTTTTCGAAAGTAGCTACACACGTTGTTGAACCCAATCCTGCTATCAGATTTTGTGCTGGTCTAGGAAATAGCACCTGAGCTTATTTGAATGTGGCGGCCATGGTACCGGTCCCGTTATCGATCGGAGACGCGTGCATGTACCTGGACCAAATGTCGTTGTATGGGATAACCCTTTGCTATAGTGGTGTGTCGCGTCTTACAATGTTTTTTTTTTTTTTTTTTTTTCATATGAACATAGGAGGTTGGATGTGGTCGCCTTGCTGGTGGTGCAATATGAACCTAGACCGCGTACAAGTCTACATTTTATGTTTCAAGGCCCGTATTGTGCCGAGGTTGGAGGCCCTATAACGCGAGCTCCGATGAAAAGGAGTAGCACTCAGTAGTATTTGTAGTGCAGGTAGTGAGGCAATTCCTCAATCTGAGTGGCCTATGAGTAGAAGGATTGGGACCGTTGATGGTATCCGGTATCAAGGGGTGTGGGGTGGAAGGTTATAGCGCCATGAAAGTAAAACTCATATCATCTTCTTCTTAATTTTTTCCATGATTATTAGTATGATATTTTTTCTCATGGAACTGAGCTTCAGATTCAACCTTGTCGTGGCTTGGGAACGAGCCTGAGGTGCCAACTCACATGCTGAGTGGTCTCACGTGCTGAGATTGTGCTTCGCTAGTTTGGCAACTAATTTTGCAGCTCTTTTGCAACTCTTTGATAACTATTTTGCAACTGTTTTGCAACATTTTGCAATTAATTTTGCAACTATTATGCAACTATTTGGCAATTATTTCACAACTATTGTGCAATTATTTCACACTAGTTTCCAATCATTGTTATTCATCATTGAGTTCATATCGAATAGAATTGTATGTACTTACCTAAGTTTTCCTCGCGACGTCTGAATATCGCATCAATGTATTTTGAATCTTGATTATGGATTCTTCGATTGCTCAGCGTTCGTCGTCCGTCCCTCATTGATCTGTATCACCAAGTCCGTGTAACCTGGCAAGTGTGACGTCCTGTTTTTTCGGCGAAGCGGATCGAGCTGAAGTGCCCATGTCGTCGCACGAATCCGGTGATGGTATATGAATGTATTTGGCATAAGCAGGAGTATCGCTTTCAGTGCCAAATAACTTGTGGAAAGTGGGTATTGGGTTGAGTGGGTCTCTGGTCGCCACCGCACTTCTTGGTTGCATGTACGGACGAGGACGTGGGAGTAGAGTCGGCGCACATCGTGGCAAGTGGTCAATACTGGACAAGCATGAACACGGGGAACGAGAATGTTGGGCTGCATCAGCAGTTTCTTGGTGTCGCAATGCAGTACCCGCTGGCAAGTGGCAGTGCTCTGCCCAATCCGCCTCCTCCGGGCGTGATTCCTCCTGGCGTGATTTCACAACAGTATGCACTACCAGTCGGGCAAGTCCAAGCTACTGCTGCGCAGATTCCAGCCATGATGCCTTATGTACCGACTGCTAATGCGATGATCCTAATGACGGCGTATCAGCTACCGCCCGCAGCGCAATGGGGAATGTAGACGTGGCCTAACAATCCAGCGCCGACTTCGGGGCAATGGAGTGTACCTCTCACTCCACAACCAACACCTCCCCCTCCCCCTCCCCCTCCCCTTCCCCCTCCTCCGCAGCGGGGAAACGGAAATGGGCAAGATGGCAACCAGGGCAGGATAGGGCAGTCTGCGAACGCCTTTCCTGGCCCGGGTAATTGCGCTTACTTCACTAAAGAATATATGGATATTCTTGAGAATATCAAATCGGATAAAGTTGTCGAGGAGGCGAAGAAGAAGGCATCTGGTAATCGGTGGGGAGTTGTGCGGATCTCTGAGATTACTGAAGAGAACAGTCGGCCGGAAGTTCGTTCCCACGATAAAACCAACGAGATGAAAGTTTGGGTGAGCTCGACCTTGGGCAGTTCGTTGCGACTCATAACGCAACGTCTTGACGAGGTTGAATCGAAAACTAAGCTATCCAATGCAGAGAGGATGGAACTCGAGAGGCTGAGGGAAGAGAAAGCAAAGGTGGATAACGAGTCTAGCAATGAGAAACGAAAGCGTTGCGGCGAATGCACACCTGCTACCATTACACCCAACGAGAATCTTGTGAAGACCCTTAGACCCGACGCGCGGCAGTTCCAAGAGTCGGTACAAACGGGTTGAGATTTCGTCTGATGAGGAAGGGGCGGCTGCCGTGAAACAAAATTTGAGTGTGAAGATGGAGAACATTGAGTTGTCTGATGTTAAGAAATTACTTGAGGTGTTGGTGCAACAGATTGCTGGTCAGAAAGATAAACAACCGATGGTTGAGCCCATGGTGGAGGAAGCCGAGGACTCTGAAGACGTGGACCTTGCGCATAACGTACAGAATGCCGACGAGGAGAAAGAAGATGAAGGTGGATTTGTTGCTTACATGAAGGTAAGACAAGAGTACTATGCATCACTGCATTACACGAAGGTTGAAGAGCTCTGCAAGGCCAAAGCCATTCACTACTTCCGGAAGGACATGGATGTCTGGGAGTTAGCCAAGCTTGACCTACAGGAGTATGCAGATCATCTCGCGGAAGGTGCCTCCTACAAGATTGGCGAACCATCTCGGCGAAACTATTCATGGGATGAGCATTCGGACCTGGGCAGTACCGGGTGTCCCGGTGGTGATGGATCGCTAGCAGGAAACTAAGTCGATCGAGCTCTCGCTCGCTTTGTAGGGTTGTGCATAGTATTGTTAGAATAAAAGATCTGGTTGATTCATCCACTGTGGCTTTGTTAGATAGAATTCACGTCTTGCTCATTCTATTGGCGTGTCTAAAGGGCGATATGGCGTGGGGTCTGGCTTACATCCGGTTTTGGCTTCAGATATCCGTAAATGATTGGGATAAGTTATTGCACGGGCAAGCTTGTGTCTACATACTAATCTCTCTGAGTCATAAGTCTGTGTATGTTGGTACGACGACGCGACTATTAAAAGAGCGTTGGTCCGAGCACGTTCGTGATGCGCGAGGCACTAGTAAGCAAAATGTGCACTCTTGGTTTGGTTTGGTGAAAATTCGGTCATTGAATCTATGGAACAAAAAATTGTCCGTAGCCACAATCCCGACCTCAATCATGTCAAGAAAACGATCGAAGCAAAACTCTCATAGACACAGAGGGCACTCCCCGCGGGATAGAATATAGGTAAAAATTAGTAAAAACCCCGGCCATGTGGGCGGGGCAACTAGGCAAGAGGGGCCTAGCATGTTGTAGCAGGCCGCAGTGGCTAAACGGTGGCCTAAGTTTCCCCTACGGTAGGCTGCAGGCCCTAAGTACTGATCGAACTGGGCCCTGTACTCTACTTAGGGCAGATTAACTCCTAGTAGAACTGAACTAGGAGCTAGCCCGTAGGTACAGGCACAGACTGATACGTAGAGGATCCCGGGATCAAGTTCGACCTGCCTCCGGGCTAGCTCCTTTTGCTAGCTGTAGGGGGCGGGGCTTACCTTTTCCGCCCGCCCACAAAAGGGCGGGATTCGAACCCATGACCTCGAAGTTGGGGCAAGATATAGTTGTAACCCGTTGTGACAGTTGGCACAACGGGGTAAATAGTAGTTAGATTCTCTCTTTTGCTTTTGCTTTTTCTTTTTTCCTTTATTGTTACTAGTTAAATTTGTTTTCTTTTATTGTTGTTTTTTTTTAGGCCGTGGTCTGAAATCTCTCGCAGCCTCACTTGATGAATTTACCCCAGGGACGCGGTAGATACAGTCAAGAAAGTTAGTAGGAGTCTCGAGCGATCTAGCCACTAAAGGCTACAGCGCGACGCCGCGGAAGCCCGACTCGGGGAACACCGAACCAAGAACAGGGGAGAGAAAAGAGAAAAAAAGCAAGCGAAAGCGAGGAAGGAAATATCGCGAATAGACCGGAGGAAGTGGGAAATCAAGCGAGAAAACAATAGAACGTGGGAAGAAGAGGAAGAAGAAGAAGGAGGAAGAATAGGAGAGGAAGAAGGAGAGCGCATACCTGATCATGTAGGCAGACGGTCGCAGGCGGTAAAAATGAAGGTGCTCGTCACTGGCTCTCAGCTTCGGCACCATCACCCAGTGGGTTACGGGAGAGCTGTTGCGACTCTGTTGTGGTGTTGTCTTCGTATCCGCGCTCGCAACGGCGTATTCCGACTAAAAGAGCTCCCTTAATCGGGGGCAGGATGAGCACGTAGAAAGAGAAGAAGGAAAAGGAGAAGGAGAGGAGGAGAAGAAAGGAGAGGAAGAGGGAGTCGAGGGAAAGAGACTACTACGAGGCAACGGGCATCCGACAATCAGCAAACGACGACGAAGGAGCACGAGTGAAGGAACAAGTAAGTCTCCGGTTTTGCAGCACACCCCGACGTTATCAACGACGCAAACAAGAAAAATGAAAATAAATAAATAAATAAATAAATAAATAAATAAATAAATAAATAAACAAGCAAACGAATGAAATATAGGGATGAATCTAACATTATAATAAAGGAAGGTGCATTCACTAACTCGCATGAAAGTGTATAAGAGTGAACAAGAGAGAAAGAGTGAGAGGTGAAAGGGAGGATGAGAGAAAGGGAAGGAGAGCTACGTACCTGGATCGCCTTAAAGCACGAGTCATCAGCTCGCGCTGATTCTGTTCCCACCCTTTGTGCACACCGCCGACGCTCATACTGATTCGAATGGTCCGGTAAAGTGTCCGGATCGCCGGAGATCTCGGCGGTATGCCGATGAAAAAGGAGGGGGAGGAAGGAGAGAGAAACTTACCAATGGTACCATAGCTCCAACTTCGTCTTCGAGGTACCTGCATCAAAACACCACCTTAAGAGGTTAGTACCTGGTACGCAAAGAGAGAGGGAGGGGGACGATAAGTCTCCAACCCACGATGCCCACGGTACTTGGATCAACAGGGTGAGCAAATCAAAAAGTAGAAGTGAATATTTCCACGTTTCAGCGGAAGATTCATTTCGTTTTTGTTCATCCAATCGATAGAGTGTGTGTGTGTGTGTATGTGTGTGTGAGCGAGAGAAAGAGAGTTATTCTTCTCCCTCTTCTAAGTTCACCTCTCGATATCTGACTTCACTGCATCTACGAGGGGGAAAAGAGACAGAGCTTGGGGACATCGGATCCAAACTCGACTTTTGGACTAAGACATGGCAACGAGGGATTATTTGGGTTTAGTGACAAAGACTACCGTCTTAACCCGAAAACAAGGTACGTACCTTGTATACGAATACAAGGTACGGGGTACCTTGTATTCGATTACAAGGTACGTACCTTGTATAACGAATTTTAGGGTGCAACTTTCCTGAGGCAAAGGGGGGGGAGGCGGAAGTATATAGTAAATATTAGAATTATATCAAAAATATTTAAAAAAAAATAAAAAATAAAACATATCAAGAATAAAATATAGTCGACCGCTACCAGGAAGGGGCTCTAGCGTGAAGTTCCTTTTTTTTTTTTTTTTTAAAGAACGTATTGACATGCTCACGATTCCACATGCATTCGAACACGGCGTGTGTTTGAGTGTGTGTGTGTGGAAGAGAGAGAGAGAGAGAGCATAGCGCCCACATGTGGAAGCAGGCGTGTGCGTGGACAACGCATGCGAGAGAGAGAGAGAGAGAGAGAGAGAGAGAGAGAGAGAGAGAGAGAGAG